AACGTCGGAGAACCTTCCGAAAACACACCATCATCGTGTTTTTTGGGCCTTCACGTGCTTTCTGTTTTTGCAAGAGACTTACCCCCACAAAGGATCAAAAATCTCTAAATAGTTTAGCGCTAGAAAGAGGAGGGCAACACTCTTCTATAGGAAGAACTGAAACCATACACGACCTTGAAGGTATGTCATGACAAGAGAAGACGGAGGTAGCTCACCAGAGAACGACACCTTGGAGGGGATGGAAGGAGAGAACATCTGCTGGGTCGACAGACCGACCAAGCTATTCTCGGGATGCCCGATGATAAGGGGAACATCTTTGGTTCCCCACGCCGCCGCCAAACGCACACTCAGAACTCGTCCAGAGTGTAGAAGAAAATGCCCTGTAAAATTCCTTACATCCAAAAACCTTAGTGAAAGTGTTGGCAAACTGGTCATTATATATAACAAATGAGTTAAAGACTCGTGGGCAATGCCCAATAAAGTCTGCCATGGATTGGTCCTGTACAACAGTTTTTATATCAATTAAAAAGTGCAGGCCTCGTAGGTTGATCGATTGCAGTTTGCGGATTAAACAATTGGGATCTATACTAGTTTCGGCAAAGATAATTGACAAGAACGTCCAAAACCGGCTAAGTGAAAGACAACGTCTTGGAGACCAAAAGTATGAAAGAAGCCTCATGTATTGGTTTGCCACACACAAAAAAAAAACTATTTGTTTTTAGTTTCCATTTTATAAAAAAAAACTAGGTATTTAGCCCTTTTTTGCATGGGCAGAGAAGTTTATTAAATAATACTAGGAGAGAATCCGCGCGTATGCGCAGATCTTGTTTTAATTTATATTTTGAATAATTTGTATTGAATTTTATGTTTACTATTATTGTATTTTTGTTTAGAATATTTATAATAAATTATTTGTAATCTCTTCTACACCAGTTGTGTCAAATAGTCTAATTTTTTCTTCGATCTTCATATTCTTTTTATTCTTGTAAATCTTACTAATATAATATTTGTTAATTTTCTTAATTTTCTATTTGAATTTTTTTGGTTATATATATTTTATTGATACCATCTTTTTATTATTAAAAAAATTATATATGACATTTTTATGTGGATACTTTTTTTTACTATTATTTTTTTAATAACTTTTATCTTTTTAATAGTTTATTAAATATGCTTTGTGTTTTATACTTTTATTAGTTGAATTTTTATATAAGATTATTTGAAACTTTTTAATTTAGTCAGTCTCATAATTTTTTTCACTTGCATTAAAATTTAATTATATTTTTAGTTTGTAAATGAATTTTAAAACATTTGAAAAAAGAAAATAGAACTATGCAATTAAAAAGTCTTATATTATATAATAGTTATAAGTTTTTATATATTAAAATTAAATTTTAATTTTATTCTAATATAAATATATGTTAATATTTATTTATGTTTTTAATGTGTTTGCTTTAAATATGATTAATTAATTATTTTGTTAATATTTGAAGAGGATAGGTGGTGCTCTCTCCAGTGCTGACGTGTCGCTCAACTGGAGAGAGTTGGCCAAATTTTATATATATGACTAGGAGAATACATGCACGTAATATGCGGGTTTTTTCTTTAATTATTTCAAATTGATATATTTTTGTATTTTTCTTAAAGAAATATAGTCATCATTTCTTCTATGTTACTATATAATTATAAATCAATCAATTTAAAATTTAATATTATTAAAAAATCAAGAGTTTATACAAAAAAGCTATCAATGTTTTAGCATAAATTCTTGTTTAATATTTATATAACTGTTATTTAAGAATCAGTTAATAAAAAAAAACTATTTTCTTTGAATGGTTGAGAATTTAATACTAAAATTTATTAATCAATTTTTTTTTGATAATTGTAACTTTAAATTAAAAATTGACAAATGTCATCTCTATATTAACTCTAAAATGCTGATGTGTCACTCATATATAGAGAGTTAGCCATCTTTTATATATAAGATTATAAGTAAACAATATATTTGGTAGTTTAATCTTCATCTCTAAAGTAATCATTATTTGCATAGATTAGTTTTATGCATTATTTTATTCATTCAACTTTTAGCCTCAAATTTCTCCTTTTTTGGCTAAATTGACTATCCTTACTGATTTTTATCTTCTCGTAAGCGTAGACGTGAAACCATTTTATCCAGTTGTATGTAACAAATCAATCTTTTTTGCTAGCTTTGATACCATATTTAGTTTCATCTCTGAAAATTTCATTATATATACATTAAGTTTAAAGATGATTTTAGTTCTTCATTCTCTTGAAATTTCTCCCTGTTTAACGAAAATTGTCTCTCTTTGGTTGATACTTATCTTTTATGCAAGCGTGGATACAAAACTTTAATATCATGTTGATACCATGTTAAACTTTTTTAAAATTATAGTCATTATTTATAGACATTAAATATATAGATTATTGTAACTAGGTGAATCTCCGCACGTTACGTGCAAGTTTTTTTTTCTTCAACTATTTCAAATTTCAAATTCCTAAGAAAAATGCAATCCTACTTTATTATGTGTTAGAATATTATTATAAATCGATCATTTAAAATATAATATTATTAAAAAATTAAGATTATACAAAAAAAAATCCATCAATATTTTTAATTAATTATAACATAAATTCTTGTTTAATATTTACAGAAATATTATTTAAGAATCAATTAATAAAAAACTTTTCATTTTCTTTTAGTGTTTTAAAACTTCATATAAAATTTATTAATTAATTTTCCTTAAAAACTTTTGTAACTTTAAATTAAGAAATATGACACATATCATCCCTATATTAACTCTCAAATGCTGATGTGGCATTCGTATGAAGAGAGTTGGCCTTCTTTTATATATAAAATTTTTCATTCTCTCTAGTCGGAAATTTCTTCCTCTTTTGTCGGAATTGTCTTTTGTTCTTCTATGTTTTTATATTTCATGCAAGCGTGTACATAAAATTATTATATCAGAGCGTAGGTAAACAATTCTTTTGTTAGCTTTGATACCGTGTTAAGTTTCAAATCTGAATTAGTCATTCTTTTATACATTATTTTTTATGGACGAATTTATTTTCATTCTCCGTAGTTCGATCTCTCTTCCCACGGAAAGACGATTAAACTAATAATAAGAAAACCGCAGACTTTACATTGAAACGAGCTGCAGATAAAATTTAGAATAAAATGGACTTTAATGATCCAGTTAGTATGAACTATGACACATCACTTTCAAAACACACATAGTATAAATGAACAATTTATTAAAAAGCTAGCTTTAATACCATGTTAGAAAATAAACTAATCCTTTTTGCTAGCTTTGATACCATGTTTAGTTTCATCTCTGAATTTTTCATTATAAATATACATTAAGTTTAAAGATAATTTTGGTTCTTCATTCTCTAGAACTTTTTCTCTGTTTAACGGAAATTATCTCTATTTGTCAGTACTTATCTTTTATGCAAGTACAGCCACAAAATTTTGATATCAAAGCGTAGGTAATTAAACAATTTTTTTGGTAATTTTGATATCATGTTAATCTTTATCTTCAAAATAGTCATTGTTCATATACATTAATTTTATAGATTATTTTAATTCTTCATTCTCTCTAGCTGGAAATTTCTTTCTATTTTGTCAAAATTGTCCTTTATTTTTTTGGTTTTCATCTTTCATGCAAACATGGACAGAAAACTATTATATCAGAGCGTAGTTAAACAATTCCTTTGTTAGTTTTGATACTGTGTTAAGTTTTGAATCTGAATTAATCATTATTTTATACATTATTTTTATGGATGAATTTATTTTTGTTCTCCGTAGTCTAATCTCTCTTCCCACAGAAGGACGATTAAACCAATAATAAGAAAACCATAGATTTTTTAATTAAATAAGACCGCAGATAAAAATTAGAATAAAATTGACTTTAATGATCCAGTTAAAATGAAGTATGATACATCACTTTTAAAATACATGTAGGATAAATGAATGACCTATTAAAAACATTAAAAAAGTCAATAAGTTAGAAAATAAACTAACCACACATCAGATTTTTTGCTTCAGAAATATATCGATTGAAAAACAATGTTGCACTTGATGTACAAATGGCTTTTGATTGAATAACTATTACATTCAATTAAAAAAACAATAACGCCTAGAGAGACTAGAAGTGCCTTTAACCAAAGTAATTAACTAACCGTCAACACCATAGATGGCGCGATGCTCTTCGACAGAGGATCAAGACACAAGCTGCTGTTTTTGAGACTTCAAAGATATAGAACAACCACCAAACTGAATAATAGAATCTGTATAATAACGTCTTGTTGTTGGGCATCATGCCCGGCCGGAACTGCCCCATGCAATAAGAGACAGATGAGTCTTAGCTTTTAAAAGAAAACCATGTCACAGATTGCCTTTGACCTTGAGTAAACATATAAACCTTGTTGTTGCATCCCAATGAGTCTGTTTTGGTTCTTGCATGAACTAAGCAACAATGTGGACCAGTGTTAATCTGCAGGTTCAGGAATTGTACCTCTTTTAACTAAAGCAAGACGTACGATGGTTCTTCTCCAGAGGCACAGGTCTCCGAAATGATATTATGATGGTCACAAAATGTGAAAGCAGTTTTAAAAATGTTTCCTACCTAAAATCCCAAGCGCAAGGCTGAAATCGAAGTAGTACTAGGTACAAATTCACAGGGAGGAAGCAGAGTCGACCCTTGGCCAATCCAAGAAAGCCTATACTTCCGGCTGATTCTTTTATAAAAAAATATTTGGTCCTCAATTATTCAAAACTTGTCTTAGTCTGGTCAGACTGATCGTAAAGTCTTATGTGGCGCTTTTAGTCCCCATTCCGTGTTCGAATCTGCAAATTGCCTTAGTTGTTGGGTCTATATGAAAAACGTTGAGAGTCTTTAGATTTCTGGTAGTCTATACTCTTAAGGGAAAAATAAACTTCCTTGGCAGCCTGTTATAATCTTATTTCTTGGACCCAACAGTACGAACAATGAAATCGCACTACACAAAACCAAAGAGAATATAATACAGAGACAACATAAACAACAAACGATATTATTATGCAAAGAGCAGACATTACAACTCGAACACTGAGACATTACATTATGAAACTTTATTCCCATAGATTCTTTTTCTTGAGTTACTTCATTACAAACTCACCATGGTTCACTTATAGTCATACACACGTATAACTGTATTATATAGATGTAGCCATGCATGGTGGTTAATATAATATGAAGTTTTTAGTTACCAGGCTGAGTCTCAACTGCTTCTACTCCGTGCCCTCCTCTTCCTCCGTGTCCACCGCGTCCTCCTCTTCCTCCTTTGTATCCTCCCCCTCCTCCTCCGTAGTGTCCCCCTCCTCCTCCGTAGTGTCCTCCTCCTCCTCCTCCTCCGTAGTGTCCTCCTCCTCCGTAGTGTCCTCCTCTTCCTCCTCCGTAGTGTCCGCCGCGGCCACCACCATATCCATCAGGTTTCACAGTTTCCTCACTCTCTGACTTCACCCCTGTCCAAAAAAATATAGAAAAATCACATTATTTCAAAGATATTGTTTAGCACGTGCAAATGTTCTTTCCTCTCCCCGATTTCAAAAACGAAATTTCTCTTATAAACATTTTAAAATATGTATCGAATCTCTTGTTTAGAATAAAGAATTATGAGTTTCAAAATTAAATATACGTTCTATATAAAATTTTCACCAATATACGTAAGTGTCTTTTATTACTAGGACATCAACATCGTACTTAAGTGTGTTTTTTGACTTATAAGTCCATATAGTTGACCTTCGTTCAAATCAACCTTCCGGACTTAACACGGACGAAATAGACAAATAGAGACAATATTATCAAATATGGTACGTTTGTTTGGGTTCGATTAGCTTCACGAACATTTATTTTGTTTCTATAAAATAATTTTATTTACCCGATGATTGCCTTTCTGCGGCAACTTCTGAGACGACGAGAAGTAATGCAAAGAGACCCAAAAGAATCAAAGCTTTGGAAGCCATTTTCTTCTACTGCTTTTAAGTTTATAACACTCTTTTGTTTTGTTGGAGAAAGAAGTGATGAATAAAATGTTCGCCTGCATGCTCTCTATTTAAAGAAAGGGTAACGAAGAGGAGAAAAGTCAAATAACTAATCCGTGGACCGTAGTGCATTAAAAATAACGAGGAATTTTATTTATTAAAGAGATAAGTAAGGGTATTTGCATTATTTGCAGATAATGACAAAAAGAGCAATTCAGTAAAATAGGATTGAGACTGTGCTTCGCGCGGATTGTAATTTATGTTCATGTTTTTATATATTTTATATATTATTTCTTAAGAAATAATTTGTTGATAATTTTTTCTTAGTTTAATAGTTTTATTTTTAAGTTTACATTGTATTAACAATATCTGTGTTCTGTTAGTTATTCTTACTGGTAGATTAAAAACTCTATAAATTAATAATATTAGGACTTTGATATTTTATTAATTTTTAGAGTTATTAATTTAGAGGTTTCAAATAAAAAACTATTTCTTATTAATTTTAAAATTAAAAAAAAATCGTTGAAATTTATAATATTTTTAAAAAATTAAAAAAAATAAAAATGAGTTCCAAGAAGACTTCAATTTAAATTAAACAAAAACATAGTAGATTATCTCACTTATATGTTTATATCAAATTTTATTTATGGTAATTATTAATTTATGATAATAATGGGACCATAGATTTACATAAGAGTTTTGTTAAGTTTATTATCTTATTATCTTATCGAATTGTGTCATAATTTGAACTGGCTCAACGTAACTCAGAACTATGAAAAATTATTAATTTATGTATTTATTAATTTATCGAGTATTAATTTATAGAGTTTTTATTGTATGTCTATATAAAAATAGTTTTTTTAATTATATTATTAACTTCTGTAATTTTTTATTTTGTGTGTTTTTATATTTTATCTGTACTATTGTGTGACTCTAATTATAATTATTTAAATTATTTTTTTATTTTTCTTAATTTATACTCTCTAAATTATTATTTTTTAATTCATACTCCGTACAAATTTTTATTTTTAGTCATCTATTATTTTGAATTGTTGAATAACTAATTTATCATATTTTTCTTTTTTTGAAAAAAAAATTTATACTCCTTTTCCATCTTCATATTTTTATAATTTATTAGTTTTATCTTTTTTTTTTTTTTTATCTTTAACGTTTCTGTTTTTGTATTTTATAAAATTCATCTTCATTAGTTTCATGTTCTTCATTTTTTTATTTATTTTTTTCATTTTCCAATGGTTTTTGACTTCTACTTTTCTTCCTCCTGTTTTTTTTTATTCTTTTTTCATTGTCTTTTTTTTTAATTATCATCATTTTTCTAATTTTTTTCAGTTTATATAATATATTATTTTTAATAATATATATATATTTAATCCAGTTAGTATTACAGTTTTCTTTAAATATTAATATCTAATTGCCACTTATCTTTTTATTATACTAATATTTATTTTATTTAATTTAATTTGTACTAAATATACTAATAACAAATATAAATATATATATATATATGTATTAAATGTTTATTTTAAATATGCTTTAATGTTAAAATTTATGAGTTTGTTGATGTGGACACCCTAGATGGAGATAAAATTCTCTTATTATATTACAGATTATAAAATATTTGTTCTTTCTCAAGGGAACAAAAATACTTTTTTATTTTTTTGTTGAATGTTTCATTTGATTGTTAAGGGAAAAAACAGTTTTTTTGTCCCATATCGTGTTACATTTTTATATGGACAGGTAATTTTTTTTTTTTAGGGCTAAACAAATTTTATATATTAAGAATAAGGATTACAATCTGCAAATACAGCATTAGACAACCATAAAGGTGGATACAATTTTGATGAATAAAAAACAGCATTACACAACCATAAAAGTGGATACAATTTTTATATGGACAGGTAATTTATTGATTGGATTTTTTTATACAGTTTATTAAAATAATTCGAATGTTTCTCCTCCACGTATCATGCTACTTTCTATTGAATGAAACCTTTGTCTCAACTTTAATTTTATATTTGAAGTATATAAATAATTTAGTGCGTTAAATATCGGTTTATTTATATATTTTTTTCTTGATGGTTTATTTGTGTTTGAGAATTTTTTTTTTTTAACATTTTCTTAGATTAATTAAAGAAATCCAGCCGGTTAAAGCAGTACAGTGAAGCTGTAAAGAGCTCGTTCTGCTATCTCATCAGTTAAAAGATTGTCTGATTGAGGAATGTGTTCGAAAAAGATGCAATTGAAACAGAGTGACAGAGAGACTATATCGAAAGTAATCCCCGCGATCTCTTTGATTTTTGTCCCTCGATTGATTGCTCTGATCAGATCCGAAGAGTCCGATTGGACATGAAGCTTTGTGATCCCGAGATTTGTGGCGTGAGTCATGGCAGATCTCAGGGCTAGAGCTTCAGCGATGATCGGGGAGGTCACAAATTCTTCGATATCCATACCCTGGTTCCATGGTGGCGAATTTCCTCAACGGAAAACCCAACCCAATCTGCCGATCTGATTCTCTTCCTTCCAGGCCACATCGGTTTGCACAATGGTATGGTCTGTTGGGATTTCCTTCGGATCTCATGTTTGAAGAGTTGAAATCTCCCTTTCCTGTAGGTCATGTGCCTGAATCCAATCTCTTGCATTGCAGATGGCTTTGTTCACCGTTTCTAATGGTGTGAATGTTCTGTTCTCGAACAGTCGGTGGTTCCTGGATAACCAGATGGCCCAGCAGATCCAGGGGAAGAGTAGTCCGGCTTCTATTCCTGTTGGAGGTAGAGTGACCCATCCCTTCGATGCTTTGAGCCCTGTTGCAAAATCCGGAATGAAAAAGGGATCTATGGTGTATTTGAAGGGCGCCAGTGACCAAACCGCCTTGGCGAAGTGACAGTAGAGGAAAAGGTGGTCAGCTGTTTCTCTTTCTCTGCATAGACTGCAGGAAGCGTTGTTGGAGAGTCCCCCGGTAAGTAGATTTGCTCCAGTTGGTAGTGCTTTCTTGAGTATCTTCCATAGAAAGACCTTTAGTTTTAGGGAAGTTTTCTTATGCCAGATATCTGAGTTCCAGTTAATTGTGGTTGTCTGTGCATGAGAGAGTGGTTACTTCATTCGCTGATGTGTCGCTGTGTGGTATCCTGACTTGGTCGAATAATTTCCATCTCTGTTTGGGGTCCAAATGTAAGAGTCTTCTCCGCCTCTTTTGCTTGGTTTTATGCTTAAGATCACAGATGAGAGGTGTGGGACAATAACTTCAATCTTTCTTGTGTCCCAGGTGGTTGAGTTCTCTTTTATTAGGTCTGAGACCAGCAGATCTTTATTGGCGTTGGTGGGAAGGCCAACTACTCCTAGCAGTGATGTCGTCGATAGCCAGGGATCGGACCATAGGTTGGTTTTTCGTCCATTTCCAATTATTTTGCTTATATTTGATTGCAGGATATCTTTGCCAATCATGATTCCCCTCCACCCGTGGGAAGAGGAAGATGTTGATTCAGCTCTGAGGAAGGTTGTGGACCGGTGGTATCTTCTTTTGAGAACTCGGGCCAGTAGACACTATGGGTTTATCAAGATTCTCCAACTCAGTTTGGCCAGTAAGGTGTCGTTGAAGCACTCAATGTCACAGAAACCAAGACCACCCTCTTTCTTTGTTCTTGTTAGCTTTGACCATGCTAGCCAACACATTTTTCTTTTTTCAGGGTTGGCGTCCCACCAAAAGCGAGTAAGAGCGGATTGGATGCGTTTGCAGAGACTTGCAGGGAGCTTGAAGCACGACATCGTGTACGCTGGGATGGCTGAGAGAACTGTCTTCAGCATCGTGATTTTACCCGCCGATGATAGAAATTTTGTTGACCAACTCGTTGACGTATCCTGTCCACAATCTGAGTAAAGAGGTCTTTTTTCCTTCTCCCAAAATGTTCGGGTAAGCCAAGGTACTTCCCTTTACCTCCCTCTTGACTGATTCCCAGATCCTGTTTAACTCTTTCTCGTACATCATCAGGAGTTTTGCATGAGAATGTAAAGGATGATTTTTGTAGATTGATCTTCTGTCCCGAGGCTTCTTCATATTTCCTGAGAATTGCCATGAGTTCTGCGCAGGCTTGGGGGGATGTTTTACAAAAGAACATTGTGTCATCCGCAAATAGTAAATGGTTTATTCTTGGGCTTTCTTTTGCAACTCTAATGCCTGACAAGCGGCCATTCTGTTGAGCTTTTTTGCAGAGACCAGAGAGCACTTCACCACATATGATAAATATATAGGGTGATAGTGGATCACCTTGTCTGATGCCGCGTTGAGGGAGGATTGGAACGTACGCTGGGTCATTCACCAGATACGAATAGGAGACTGAGGTGATGCACATCATTATCCAAGTAATCCACTTCTCATTGAACCCAAGCCTTTTCAGCACCGTTTCAATGAAGCCCCATTCCAGGCGATCATATGCCTTACTCATGTCAGTTTCAACTGCCATGAAGCAGTGTTTTTTCTCTTTAGATCGTTTGAGGAAATGTAGAGTCTCATGTGTTATCATGACATTGTCTGATATGACCCTTCCAGGGACAAAAGCTGATTGGGATTCTGAAATGTTTTTTTTCCAGGATAGGTTGGAGCTGCTTGGTGAGAATCTTCGAGAAGATTTTGTAAAAGACACTACAGAGTGCGATTGGCCGGTAGTCGGAGACTGTACGTGGAGCATTGTGTTTTGGTATCAGCCGAACCAAAGTATGGTTGATGGAGCTGGGGAAAGATCCGGAACTAAAGAAACTTTTGATCTCTGAAGTTATTGCAGGGCCTACTGTTGTCCAGTTTGATCTGAAGAAAGATGCAGAAAAGCCATCAACTCCTGGAGCTTTATCCAGATAGATGGAGAAGAGAACATCGTTTGAGAATATCAAATAAATATATTTTAAAAGTTTTTAAAAAATTAACTGCTACAGTTTCTACTTATATTTTTATTAATGCATTTTAAAAACTTAAACCAGTTCAAAAATTGAAACCAAATAGTATTAAATTTGTATACTATATAAAAAAAAAAAATACA